CAAAAAAAAAAAAAAAAAATCAGCCCAAGAAACAGCCATTTCTGGCCATTTTTCCAGGGAGGGCATGTGAATGGGTGAGATGGAGTTGGCTTTCCCTCGAACACTCACTCTTCTCATCTTTTCAGCCTAGATATTTTAGAGCAATGACAACAGTCCAGGATTTATCAAAATTCTTATATTTCCTCTCATCTTTCTTGAAGTCCTGCTCTGCTCCTTTCTTTGGCGAGCACCTGAACACAGGTCAGCCATTCGGGGCTACCCAAAGACAGTCTTCAAACAGAATCGCTTCCATAAGGAATAGCAAATTGGAATGACCACAATCAACTTTCCTAATTCAACCCACCACTGTCTTGCTTTAGCAAAGTAACGATGAGAACCACCATACCTGCCTCTAGGTTAGAATGCTAGACTGCTTTCTGGTAATTTCCCTGTAAATGTGCAGTTCCTCGCTGGAAAGGGAAGAAAAATCTGCTGGGCAATCAAACTGGCACATTGGGAAAAAGATTTAAAATTCCTCCCCGCTGGAGAAGCTTCTGGAGAGGAAGAATTGACCTCCTGTTAATTTCAATCCTGGCTGGACGCTGAGAAAACACTGCTCTTTTGTCCATCAGATTAAGCCAATAGAATGGGGTGCTGGTCCCAAGTTCCCCATCCCTTTCCGGCCAGATGTCCTTGAAAGAGATGCCTAGCTTATATCCCTCTGAAATGGACTTGCCGCCTTTTAAGGGAGAGTTCAAAGCAGCTGCTCGTCACCTAAAATGAACAGCTGCAGGGAAACAATGAATTGCAGAAGAGCTTGAGATGGCAGTCAAGGCTTTTAAAATCGCCGTGGTGTCCAGGTGACTTTCTTGGCACTACAATCAAGCAAATATTTTTTCTTTGGGAGAAAAAGGAAGTGGCTACAAATCTTATTCTTTACTTTGGCTGATCTAGAAGGGTTAGCCCTGGTTATGGCTTGGATGGGAGACTTGCTTGAAATACTAGGGTGGTGGTGGTGCTGGTAAAGCTTGGGAAGTTTAAAAAAAAAGGTCGGGGGAAGGCAATGGCATGCCAATTCTGTACAGTCAAGGTGAAAAAGCATGGTCACAGCTATAAAATCATCTCAACTTAGAGAAAGAGCATTTTAAAAAGTGCTTTGCCTTGGACATCTATTATGGAGAAGCTTTACATACTAAGGACATTGAATCTAATGAAATTATCCGCAGCTGACTTCAGAAAATGTTAACCTATTAATAAGACTCAAGAAAGCAAGCATTTTATCTACTTCCCCCCATTAGCTTTACACTTGAAGTACAGTATATCCTCTGAATGAGTCAAGATGCAGGCAGAAAAGAGCAGTGACTGATTTCAATGGTCAACAGCAAAAACCCCAATGCCCTCAGCTATCACCCTCCTTCTCTTAAAGCAATGCTCCTCAACCTCAGCGACTTTAAGATGTGTGGACTTCAACTCCCAGGATTCCCCAGCCAGCAAGCATGGGGAATTCTGGGAGTTGAAGTCCACACATCTTAAAGTCACTGAGGTTGAGGAACAGTGTCTTAAAGCACCAAGTGATCTATGGCACACCATTGGATTAGACTCAAGCCATCCTGTTTACACTCAGATTATGTGGTATGGTAACTGGATCCAAAAGCCCAGGAAAGCCGTTTTTCAACTCCAGTTCCTGTTAACATTTTGAGTTTAGAAAAAATGTATTAAGGGTGGGAGAGAAGGAGATAACTAAGCTAAAGGCATGTTAAGACTCACACTTGAGGTAAATTCCTGCTCTTAATATTAGAAGTCGGTGGAAGATTCAGGATACCCTTAAACATGGATTAATCCACATGGTACACAAAGCAGGACTTAAAAAAAAGAAATAACTGAAGAGAGCCAGTTTGGGAGAGTGGATAAAAGCACCAAGTTGGAAAGCAGGAAACTGTGAGCTCTCATCTTGCTTTAGGCATGAAACCAGCTGGGTGACTTTGAGACAGTCCCTCTCTCTCTGTCCTAGGAAGATGGTAAAGGCAAGCCACTTCCAAAAATCCTGCCAAGAAAATGGCAGGGACTACCAAGGTACTACCAATTTCTTACCTGCTTTTTTCTGTTATCCTGTGGTTACATGCAACTAGAAAGGATAAAACCAAACGTTTGCCTGAGTAAATCTGAGACATCTCTGCCATGATTGCATTGCACCAGTTCATTGAAAAAGCTGCCCAATTTCACTCAAGATGCTGAGCTGAAATCATACAAGCAGAGCATCTGATATCCCAACTTAACTGCTTCATAGCCTCAGGAACTGGAGAAACACGAGAATCTGTTTAGGCCCTTTAATCTGTCCTAGACAGTTTGCTGAGACACAAATGATAAAACATTTTGCATTTTTACAGCAAGAAAAAAACAAAGAAAATGCCTACAGAAATGTATAAGGAAGTTAATTTTGTACATGGGTAAAACATTATAAATTCAGGGAAATACATGGACACAGCTCAACTCCCACATTTCTTGTTGCTTTTAAAAAGTTCTTAAGTGTGGCCAGGCAGTCAATTGGCTGTTTCTTCGTTGAAAGGAGTCTTCCAAGAAGCTCCTCAGGGACTGCAATGTGTCTTGGAATGTCCTCAGAAGGCTCTGTCATTTCAAGGTGACAGAATTAAAACCCCAGAGTCCTTTCAGATACAAGGAAAGCAAGCCACTCAGTCGTCAAACTTTATCTTCTTTCCTTGTGGTTTATGGTCACCACCGCCACCTCTGCCTCCCCTGAAGCCGCCGCCTCTGCCTAGAAGGATGAAGAAAGCATTAGAGAGGAGCCAACCCTCAGAGCTACTGTGCATGTGTTACTCCATCGCGCAGAGGGATGCTTACCTCCAAACCCTCCTCTGCCTCCACCCCGGCCGCCAAATCCGCCTCTGCCACCACGTCCACCTCTGCTGCCCCGGCCAAAGCCTCCACCGCCGCCCCCACGGGGAGTGCCGCCTTTGGGCTTGGCAAAGTCGAGGGTCACTTTGTTTCCATCAATCTCTCCATCCTCCATGGCTTCTTTGGCTGCTTTGGCATCTTCTGGGGAGCTGAAGTCCACAAAGCCAAATCTAAAAGAGAGAGTTCAGTCACAACAGGAAGCAGATTCCACGGAGAGGTCAGATACAAGGAGCTCCTACTGTTCTGTTAAAGGACTAGTTTCAAAATGCCAGGTCCCACGAAGACAAATTAGGAGAACTGACTGGCACCGCTAATAACGTTTTCTCCAGAAAGCACGATGGAATAAGGCATGAATACAAAACTACCCCTCCCCCCAAAGTTCTGTACTGCTGTAAAAGGAATTGGCTAATGCTCTGGTAGGGTGAGCTGGAGCTGAATCCAAGAGTGGAGAAGGCCCCCTTCCTTCTCTTCCCCAACCAGCTGCTCAGGAACGCACAGCTCATTCTTGCAGGAGATCCACATCCTGTAGAGCTCCTTGCGAATCAGGCTCAGGGGCCCGTAAGCCAGAGAGGACTGCAAGCTGCCCCTCCTGCAGAAGATCTCAGGCAAGGCTGAGAACTGCCCCGCATCTTAAGCTTCTTACAGCAAAGGCAGCAGCTGACGGCTGGCCCTTTTAAAAATGCAGAAGGTCTGCCTAAGCTCAGCTATCGCTACATCTGTCTCTGGAATTTCCTGGCCAGCTATGAATTTGAGAGAGGTCATATGCAAACTTGTCCCACAGCAATGACAGTTATTCATCCAAAGGAATTGGAGGCACTCACAAGATCAGTGCTGCAGGTTTACTCTTCTTCTCGTGCGAATCCACAGCCTGCCACTGAATTTACAGCAGGAAGGAGCTCATTGAGAAGGCAAGGAACTTCTGCTTTAAGTCATTTTATACTAAAAAAAAACCCCTTTCAGCTGAGCTCAAGTAACAGTTGGCATCCAGTGTTTTACGCTTGCAGCACTTCAAGAGGCAGACCGAGCAACGTCCTGTTGTACCTACCCTTTGGAGGAGCCGGTGTCCCTGTCAGTCACTATTCTTGCACCAACGCAGCTTTCAAACGACTCTCTCAACGTCTCTTCAGTAGTGTCCTCTGACAGCCCTTTGACAAACAGGGTTTTGCTTTGCTCTAAACAACAGAAAATGCCGGGGTTCAGCACTGGCAGAGAGAGAAGTTAAGGGCCCTCACCAAGGTTCTGGTTTGGATGCCAATCTCTACTTACGGCTAAAGCCTCCTTTAGCGTTGGTGTTTCTGTTTTGTCCCCCCGAGGTGCTGAATTCTAGTCTGATTGTGCGCCCTTCGATCTCTGTGTTGTTGCAGGAGTTCATGGCTTCCTTTGCATCCTCAGCTGTGGGGAAGTCGATGAACGCGTAACTGTTCAAAGAGAAGCGGGGATCACTAGGGGAACCCCGTGGCGAGAGAGAGACTACTGCCAGTCTCTCCCCTCTATCCAGGGCTCCTACTCACTTTGGCTCCTACTCACCCTTTGGGTCTTCCCTGGTTGTTCTGTGGAATCCTGATAGCTGACGCTTTCTCAAAAACTTCTTGAAGGGTTTCTTCAGTTGCATCGTAAGAGAGATTGTTCACAACAAGCGTCTTTGAATCTCCACCTGTGTAAAAACCCACACCGCCAATTGAGAGTGGTCCCTTGTCTACCTAATTCTGGAGGTCTCTGCAGCACGCCGCTTTTGTCATGCCAAGCTGATCCACCTCGGCATCTTACCTGGCTGCACTCCCTTGATGGGTTTTCTGGCGTCCTGCTGGCTCTTTTCACCTATGTAGTCAAGCACAATAGGACGGCCGTCTATCTCCATTCCTTGCTTTTCCAAAGCTTTCTCTGCATCTGCCTCCGTCTTAAACTCGATGTAGGCAATCCTACAACAAAAGGAAGGGAACAGCATTACAGCGTTCACCGAAGGTTTTTCTGGGAAGCCACGTAACAAATGAGTAACACTACCACCTCCCTTGCTAGGTTCACAGAGAAGCAGTAAACCACACACCTCCTTTGGTTTTGTCTTCCATTAACCTAATTCAACCAGTAGAGTAATTTTTCGGGGGTGTTTTCTTGTTTGATTTCTTTTTCTCTTTTTGTTCATTTTGGTACAATTTCATAATTAATTTGTCACATAGTATTGTTTCTCTTTTAATTTGTTTTTGTAAATTGTTCTTTCTATACTCTTTAAAAATTGCAATAAAAATTATTTTAAAAATGCAAGTCCAACTAGTATAACTTGCAACCCATGATTTATGGATCGCTCTGATACATGAATAGCCTTTATGACTTGTTTAATCCCCCAGTTTAGCAGAACACACAAGCCCATCCAACACCAAACCTTTCCAAATAGGAAAAATCCAGAGGATTTTTAGGGCACATCAGAACTAAGCAGGTTTTGATGTGGCCTAAAATTAATCAATCTTAAATGAATCTTTAGCAGAATGGGCATAGGAGCTCCAAAAATAATTAAAGCTATATAGCGATTTAAATACAATGATAGACAATGGCCTTTAAATTATTTAGAAAAGAAAGCAGCACAAGTACATTACAAATAAATAAAAATATATTGGCCGCCTTAGAGTAACATACCCTTTACTATTCCCATCCTTGGACACCAGTCTGACCTCCAGGGCATCATCAAATACTGCATGCAGTTCATCCTGGGTGACACTGTAAGCAAGGTTCTTCACAAAAATGGTTCTTGCTTCTCTCTCTAGAAGAAAAGCCACATATTACGATATCATGCCATTTATTTTACGCATTGCTGGGCAACCAGTCAATCAAAACCACAACATATTGGGGAAAAAAGTGGTAATTTAACAGTAATTGTCACATGCATACACAGCTTCAGCTGAAAAAAGCTCTAATCACACATGCAGGAGTAAGGATTGCTTTCATAAAAAGCTTTGCTGGAATAAGGACATTTGCTTCTTGACTAGTCTTACGCCTGTCTGTGTGTGTGCATGCCTTCGAGTCAATTTTTTACTCCTAGTGACTGCCTAGACAAGTCCATGCAGTTTTCTTAGCAAGGTTTTTCAGAAGTGGTTTGCCCTGGCCTGCTTCTTCCTGGTGCTGAGAGAGAGTGACTGGCCCAAGGTCGCCCAGCTGGCTTCATGCCTAAGGCAGG